TAAATAAATAAATAATTAAATAAATAAATAAATAAATAAATAAATAAATAAATAGATAGATAAATAAATAAATAAATAAATAAATAAATAAATAAAGAGTAAAGATTGTGAAATTTAATTTAAACCGAATACTTACTCCCCATAATCATGGATGACTCATCCCCTAACCCTGTTTTTTTTCCCCAAATTCTTTAACACTCCCCAAATTCCGGCATTTCAGGTGAATCTTGTCGTTAAAGATGAGGAGTAATTAATTCCCTACACCAGGAAAAAAGGGAGTCCCTCCCTCCTGGAGTCCCTCAGTGTGTGAATAATTTTATATTTTAATATAAATATTCCATATTTTGATATAAATATTCCATAATTTAATATAAAAATTTCCTATTTTAATATAAATATCTCCTATTTTAATATCAATATTCCATATTTTAATTAAAATATTTCATATTTTAATATCAAAGCAGATATTTGTTAGAGAACCAAGGCAGATTTGAGGCACAACCAGCTGATTTTGGACACTTTGGGTGCCTTTCCGTGCTAGAAAAGGCGGGCAGTGACATCTAGTGACGGGATTTTAGAGGGCAAGGCAGCAGGAAAATTTTGTTTTATTCTGTTTATTCTATTATTTTATTCGTTTGTTTTTATTCTATTTCTTTTATTTTATTTCTTTTATTCTATTTCTTCTATTTCTCTTATTTTATTCTATTTTTTTTAATTTATTCCATTTATTTCCTCAATTTATTTGATTTCTTCATTTTATTTATTCCATTTATTTTAGTCGATTTATTTATTCCAATTTATTCCAATTTATTTTTATCCTATTTATTCTTTTCTTCTATTTCTTTTCTTTTATTCTATTTTTTTTAATTGATTCTATTTCTTTTATTTCTTCAATTTATTTTCTTTATTCATTATTCATTCCATTCATTATGTGCCAGGGACAATAATCTATTGAAATAAATAACCAATAATTTATTGACATTCATTCCATAAATCGGTAATTAACAATTAATTTATTGAAAATAATAATTTATTGAAATGAATAATTATTGAAATGAATAATTATTGAAATGAGTAATTATTGAAATTCATGGGCCCACACACATTTTAAAGAGGTTAAACCACCTGCACTGGTGCTCTTTAAACTGCTGGAAATTATCTGAGCAGATGCTACAGTGCAAATATTTTTTAATTTTTATTATTTTACAATAAATATTTATAATTGTAATAATATTTCTAATTATTTTAGTCTTTTTATTCAAAACAGAACCGGACCTGATGAGTTTATTAAGGTTTAATTTTAAAAACATATTTTTTTACCCGGACCACAGTCAAGTTTTTGGTCTAAAAGCCCCATTTTTTCTGACTTTGTCCTGGTAAAAACGTGGAATTGGGATGGGCAGGTTCAGGGTTAAAAGCAAAGAAATAAATAAATAAGAAAATCCAATGTATCACCGAGTTATTGCCGCTAAAAACAGCTACAAAAAAACCTGGAAAAGCTGCTCCTGGAGAAGTTTTCTTTTCCCAACAAACCTTCCCACCCTCCCAGAAGGACCAAAAATCCACTTATTTCTCAGAAATGAACCCTCGAGGCTCCAAGAGATCAAACCCCAATTAAATCCCATTTTTTGAGTCTAAAACCATCATTTGCACGGCCCAGAGAGGATGGAAATATCCTGGTGGAAATATCTGGAAGAAAGTCCTGAGAAAGAGCTTCCATTTTACCCTTAAATATTCCATTTATAGTCGTTCCCAAAGTGCTGCTTTTTTTGCTCAGCGAGGATTTTAATTTAAAATTTTAATTTCAACTCACTCCTGTCCCACAGAGATGTTTCTGGATGGCTCAAAATCACCTTGATAAGTCTGTCATGGGTCACACACAAATCTTTTCAGGGAAAATAGAAATATATTTTAATTAATGGGGGGGTTTTTTTGCTGTTATTTTCCACATAAAACCATCCCAGAATTATTTAGGGTGGAAAAGGTAGATATATAAATATATATATATATAAAATCTTTACTTTATATATATATATTTTTTTTTTATTTTTTTTTTTATTTGTGGAATTTTTGGGATTGAAATCCAAGTGCTGCATCTGCAATAAAAGGATTTTTAGTAGGAAAAGTTCAACCAGTACCAAATATATATATATATATTATATTTTATATATATTTATATATATATATTTATATTTATTTATATATTTTTATATAAATATATGTATAATCTTTATTTTTTTTTTCACTTGTGGAATTTTTGGGGATTGAAATCCAAGTGCTGCATCTGCAATAAAAGGATGTTTAGCAGGAAAAGTTAAACCAGGACCAAATATATATATATATAAAATCTTTATTTTTTTTTTTATTTGTGGAATTTTTGGGGATTGAAATCCAAGGGCTGCATCTGCAATAAAAGGATGTTTAGTAGGGAAAGTTAAACCAGGACCAAATATATATATATATAAAATCTTTATTTTTTTTTTTATTTGTGGAATTTTTGGGGATTGAAATCCAAGGGCTGCATCTGCAATAAAAGGATGTTTAGTAGGAAAAGTTCAACCAGTAGTACCAAATATATATATTTTTATTATATTTTATATATATTTATATATATATATTTATATTTATTTATATATTTTTATATAAATATATGTATAATCTTTATTTTTTTTTCATTTGTGGAATTTTTGGGGATTGAAATCCAAGTGCTGCATCTGCCAATAAGAGGATTTTTAGTAGGGAAAGTTAAACCACGACCAAATATATATATATATAAAATCTTTATTTTTTTTTTATTTGTGGAATTTTTGGGGATTGAAATCCAAGTGCTGCATCTGCCAGTAAAAGGATGTTTAGTAGGGAAAATTAAACCAGGACCAAATATATATATATATATATAAAAAATCTTTATTTTTTTTCATTTATGGAATGTTTGGGGATTGAAATCCAAGTGCTGCAGCCCTCCCACGATCCTTTAGGTTGGAAAAGACCTCTCAGATGGTGGAATATCAAACAATCCCCAGAATTCCTGGATATTTGTCCACATGATGTTTTCCAGGTTCTGGAAGCTCAGCTGCAAATCCAACATTTCTCCATTTCCCAGCCATGAAAAATCCCTTTTTTTTTTATTTTTTTGGAGTGAGAGAGTCAAAGCAACACTGGGAACAGTTTCCATGGATCCAGTGGTGGGGTGGAAATGGAGAAAACCCAGAATATTTGGAATAGCTGGGAAACCAGGAATCTGCAGTTCTGCCCCAGAAGTCATGGCCTGGCCATTAAAAAATTCCCTAATTCTCCTGGATGTCACAGGACCACCTCAAGTTTCAAATGCCATTTAAGTAGCTTATTTTTCCTGTACAGAACACATTTGGCAGGAATTACAAATAAATAACTCACATTACAGGCATTGAAGCACATATATACAGACAACACTGTGGCAAACAGACACTTAAAAAGAAGAAAAAAAAGTTAAAATCCAGGGAAATCTCCTCTGATCTCGTTAAATTCCTGGCTTGGAAGAGGCTCCCTTGGGAAAAGCACGTTGCCTGGCAGTACCTGAGCATGCATTAGGATGGCCACATGCTGTAATAAATTAAGTTTTTCCTTAATTTCACTTTGTTTTTCGGAGGAAGTCAAAGATTCCCTCGAATTTTCACTTCTCTTAATCCTCGATAATTTTATTAAAATGAGAATAAAAAAAAAAAAAACAACAAGAACAAAAAACCCAATACTTGAGTCCTTTGGTATGAATCGCTAATTTTGTTGTGAAAATAAAGATATTGTTTGTTGGTTTTTTTTTTTTTCCTTTGTGTTTTGCTTTGGAACAGAAACGGTGTGAAAGTGCAGAGTGCAACAAACAGTAAAACTGGTCCTTAAGGGCGTCCCTGGGGGAAAAAAAGGACACTTCAAAGAGAAAGAAATGTAACATTTTTACACAGAAAAGCAAAAAAAACTCTGCCTGCACTGAAAGAGCTGCAGCTGAGGGAGCTCTCTGGGAGCTGGAAAAAAATACCTGTGGGTGTTATATATTATATACATCTATTATATCCCATTTATGGCTGTGTCACTTGAGCAGTTCATTCACACCTCCTATTTTGAGTTCCTTCACAAGGTGCTTGTTGGAGGGGAGGAGGGAATTCACCCAGTCCAGCTCTGGGCACCTAAATGTGACTTTTTACACTGAAAACAGAGAGAAGGTTCTCAAACAGGAGTTTGCAGGGTGGAGGAACCTATTTCTCTTTATTTCTTTTAGCTGAGGGCAATGTTTTTTGGACTTCCACTGCTAATTTAGATGAGAACTAATCCAGAGCAATATAAATCTGAATTCTACAATGCCTTGCAGCAGTGTGAGATATTTACTGCTGGAAGGGAAATGCTTCCTCACACACAGTGTGAGAACCAACCCCTGAAGGCTCTGCTGAACTGTCTGCCCCTCAAAAAAAAAAAGAGAATATATTCCCTACCTGCCCAATACCAAACTCACCCACCTTTCTGAAAGCTCTGGAGCTGCCAGATTTAATTTAGAATAATTTATGTACACGTTGACTTTAAAACAGCAAAAAGCTTAGAGACAAGTTACACAGAAGGTCTAAGAACTCCATTCCTTGCCAGGAACACTCTCCCTTCCCCCAGCACAGGTATCCCAGGTCAAACTGGTCCCTTTTCCTGCCCGTGCCAACAACCAGCCCTGTTCCCTCTGCAACAGCAGCTGACTTGCAGCTCTTTTGCTCTTCCCAAACTGACACTTCTTCCTCGCCAGGAAACAGCAGCAGGCTCTGTTTTCACAACCTTATCAACAGCACAAAGGCCTGCCATTGATCTTTAGCAAATAAATCCTGGGAAAAATCTCCCAGCAACTTTTCTCTCCCCATATTTTCTCTGCTATCCGTATTTCGCCTTCAATCCTGTCACAGGAGCCTTTCCATGCTTTCTGTCACCTAATCCTGTGGTTTTTTTTAAACACCTCTCCCTCCTGCCACGTCAGCAGCTCTCTCGGGGAGTTTCAGGGTTTCATTGACATAATGAGTCGTGCAAAAATCTCTTTTTTTTTTTTTAAAGAGTAATTTGTAACCCCTGGTTACTGGGATTCTCCCCAGGTGACAGTGAGTCCATCAGCACCCTTCCCTCAGGCTTTTCACGGGATGCCATCCTTCCTCTGGCAGCACTGCGAGGGGGGCACCCCCCAGTCGTACATGTAGGAAAGCCGGAGCTTAACCTCCTCCTTACAGAGCTTCCCTTCCTTAGCCAGGGTCTGGTGCTTCTCCAGCATGTCCTCGATGCTCTGCTTGTGAGTCACTATGTACTTATTGTTGCAGCCCCGCGACTTGTACTCGGTGTCGAAGCGGGGGTCGTGCACCCTCTTCACGTCGATGGGCGCCAGCCAGACCCCCAGGGACACGTCCTCGCTCTGCCACATGTTCAGGTAGTCGCTGCTGAGCCGCAGGTACCGCACCAGGTCGGCGGAGATGACATACCCGCCGCCCAGCGCGTAGGGCAGGTAATAGTCACACAGCACCCAGGCGCTCTCCTTCCACTTCCCCCCCGACTTCACCCGGCCCCGGCCCGAGAAGAAGCCCCAGTAGAGCCGCCGCGGCTCCTTGGCTTTGAGCTCCTCCACCAGCACGTCCAGGCGCACGAAGGTGTCGTCGTCAGCCTTGAGGGCGAACTGGAAGTCCAGGTGCAGGTCGAGCCACACGTAGGTGGCCAGCACCTTGGCCGTGAGGTTCTCGTAGGAGTCGCGCAGCTCCGGCAGCAGCAGCAGGTCGCGGTGCCGGCTCTGCTCCAGCTCCAGGCTCCGCAGCTCCTCCTGCCCGAGCCCGGCCGTGCCCACCACGAAGCGGCTCCACACGCGGCCGCGCTGGGAGCGCCCTCCCGCCGCCATCCAGGTGCTGCGGATGATGCTGCGCCGCTCGCTGTACTTGGGGCCGCTCATCACCACCACGGCCACCAGGGCGCTGCCCTCGGCGCGGGGGGCGGCGGGCGGGGCGCCGCCGCGGCCCGGCCGGCTGTGGGGCAGCGCGGCGGGGGGCGCGGGCAGCGGCCGCAGCCCCTCGGAGGTGCACTTGGCGAGGTAGAGCAGCACGGCGGCGCACAGGGACAGCCCGCCGAGCCCCAGCGCCGTGCGGTGCCGGCCCAGCCGCCGCAGCACCTTCATGGCCGCCGCGGCCCCCTCACGGAGCGCGGCCACGCCCACGCGGTTTAGGCGGGAACGGGGGGGTGTGTATGTGGGGGGGTCCGTACGGCCGCCGCGAGGGGACAAGATTCTTTGCGGGATGCTCACCGCGCTGCGCCCCGCACAGGGGGATTCATGGCTGCTCCTCGCTTTCTACCCTTTCTCACCAACTGAGCCTTAGGAGAGGTTTCTTTCAAGAGCCGCTTTTAGGCGGTGCCGCCCCCTCTGAGGGGGAGGTGGCTCCTGCCCTCACCCAACATGGCGGCCGCCCTCATCCAACATGGCCACCGTGGCCTCACGCTGCGCGGTGACGTCGTTCCGCCATCTTCCTTCCTCCTCCTCTTCCTCCCCCTCCTCCTCTTCCCTCAGAGCGCCCGGGGGCCCGTGAGGGGCCGCGAGGGGCTGAGGGGCGGCCGGGCCCGCCCGGAGCCTCCCCGCGCCTCTCACGGCGCTCGGGGCCGCGTCCTCCTCCCTCCCGAGCGCTCCCCCGGTGAGTGCGGGCGGCTCCTCCCGCAGCCCCGCGGGGCTTGGGGCGTGTGGGGAGGTTGTGGGAGAGGGGGGGGTTCGGGCTCTCCCACGCTCGCGCTGTTGGATTTGGGGCGTTTTCCCTGGATTATCCCACATATCGCAGGATATTCTGTGATTTTTGTGGTTCTGTGACAGGTCCGCCGCGGGGTTGCGCTTCCTGCCGCTGTTTCCTGCGTGTTTCCAGCTCCGCTTTCTCTTGGTATCAAATCGCGTTTCCCTCACTCATCCCTCTCCAAAAAGACCTTTAATCCCTTCCTAAACAGCTGTCGTGTTGGGATCTCTGGGACATTGCTGTGCTGCCGTGGCTATTTCTGCGTCTTGAAGGGTGTTCCCTTCCAAAGTCCTCTGCCGGCTGAAAACCAGCACCTTAATTCCATGTATTTGTCATTTAAAGGGCTCTTTTTTACTCTCTCACAGCAAATACTTGTGTATTTGTGTGTAGGTTCTTCCTAATTTATACTTCCGTGTAGTTTTTACTACACATGGTATACATATTATACATACTATATTATATATATTTATTTAGTGTATATATATTACATATATTTATATAGTGTATATATATCACATATATTATGATGTAGTATATTTATGTCTCTGTGTAGATTTTTTATACTTATATATTTATATTCTGTGTAGTTTTTTATACTTATATATTTATATTCTGTGTAGGTTTTTATAGTCATATATTTATATTCCGTGGAGTTTTTTATACTTACATATTTATATTCTGTGTAGTTTTTATACTTACATATTTATATTCTGTGTAGGTTTTTTATGCTTACATATTTATACCTGTGTGTAGTTTTTATCCTTTTATACTTTTTATACTTGTATTTTTTATACTTTTATATATTTACAGTTGTGTGTAGGTTCTTCTGAATTTTAGGTGTTTATTATTTCATATTATTTGTGTCCTCATGTTCCAGAATTTAATTTATATGTTTTCTCCTTTTTGTTTTTAGATCATTTAACTCGCAGTGATTTCATCAGCCAGTATTTTGAATTTAAAAAAAGGACAAAATGATGTCGAGACAAGCCTTCCTGTGCAGTCTGGGCTCTCTGTATTTATCCCTCCTCTTCATCTTCCTCCTCATGGATGTTTATGCCAGGCCTGCAAATAATTCTGTGCTCAAGGAGAAAGCGGCTGATGGGAAGGATGAGAACGAGATCCTGCCCCCAGACCACCTGAACGGGGTCAAAATGGAGATGGACGGGCACCTGAACAAAGAATTCCATCAGGAGGTGTTCCTGGGGAAAGAGATGGAAGAGTTTGAGGAAGATTCAGAGCCCAGAAGAAACAGGAAGAAGCTGATGGTCATTTTTTCAAAGTAAGTCGGACGGTGCCAAGGGCAGGGAAAGAGCAAAAATTGGGGTGGTTTCCTGTAATATTGACAAATGACAACGATGAAGGGGGGAAAACCTCACCCTTTAAGTGCTGTGTTTGTGTTTTGAAGGTGTTAAAACCCCAGGAATTCAGCAATCCACAGGCCAGCCTAATGAAATATAAGTGTTAACAAAGGCAGTTCCTCACAATTCAGAAAAAGAGAACAAAACGTGAGGGTGAAAAGATTAAAGTTTTCTTTTAGAGCTTTCTAAAAAAGTTCATCTATTTCTTTACTTGGTTTAAAAATATTTACTTTAAGACCTTTCCTAAAGCACTTTTTGGTCTGGGTCAGGTGTTTGGAGGTCAGTTATTGTGCTGGAGATCAAACCCAGGGTGTGTTTTTAGACACAAGGTGGCACAATTGGCTTTATTTGCATTTTTGAATGAAGGATTAATTTCCTTAGAGCAGCTCAAGTTACATTGGTGCCCTCAATGCTGCTGATTCCACGAGTTTTATTTTAATTTAGGCTGGAATCCTTTATTATGTCTGTTATTCACTCACTTCACTGGTAGGATATGTAAAAATATTAAGATTTCTTTGCTGTTTTACATTTAGTGGAAACATTGTTAGTAATTTGGGAAGGACAATTTACTAACTCTTTAATTTCTGCCTGTTTGTTATGAAAGAGGTTTCTTAGGAAGCTTAAATTAATTGGATTTAAGATCAATTCCATTCAGATCCTTAAAATTACTTTCCCTCAGATGATCAGATTAAAAATGTAGGGAATCATTGTGGGGGCTCTGATTGTTTTCTAGACATTCTCCTAAAGGCTGAAAGAGAAATCCTGGGAAACTTGTGTGAAAATCCAAAGTCCTGGGCTTCCAGATGTTCTGGAATTGCTGTTGGAAGGCACCAAGACAACAGACACAGCGTGGTTTTAATCAATAAAATTTATACAGTGAGATTCCTCAGTGGATGAAACAGGGTAAAATAGTCCATTCGAAGCATAAATTATTATCTAATAAGATTAGTGAAAATAAAGCTGGGACACGAAAGAATTGCTCCCCAACCTGTGATTTTTTCCAGGCAAGTTCCATGTGACTGAAACACTTGGTAATTCTGTGTTTTGCTTCCTGGTGTCGTTCTTTGGATGAAACACAAACCAGCTCTGAAGTGATTTATGGGCTCGAAAAAAAAATTGGCATTTTTGGGGCTCTGGGTGAGACCTGGAAGTGGGTTCTTGATAATGGACCTTCTGGAAGGTGGCCACAAAAATCTTGATTTTTTTTTTCATGGCTTGTTTTTGAGAAACTGGGCTGCAAGTGGTTTATTTTTATTTTATCCCTGTGTAATAGAACCCTTACTGTAGGAAAAAGTCAGTTATCCTGCAAAGTGCCCACTTGTTTCTTACTCAGAGGTGCCACCTGTGTGCTTTCGTGACCTAAATGAGCAAGAAATGGGATGTTTGTTCCCTCCCTCTGCAGTTCTGGGGTGATTTAGGTGGAAAGTACAGCTTGGAAGTAGAAAGTTTGATAGCTTTGATCTAAGGAAACCAAATGTTAAATGTTGAGGGGGGGGAAATGCTCTGGTTTAGTCTCATTTTTATTGTACCTGGTGGGTGCAAAATCACCATCTTCTTGCTCTTGTCACCAACACTGCTATTTAAATATAGCCCTGGCATGATATTTAAACCCCTCTCAGAACAGTTTTATTGGGTTTTATAAGACTGGGGCTGTTCTTTGGCTCAAGCTTTTAACATTTAGCTGACATTTAAGGGCAAATCACATATTTAAGAACTTGAGTTTCAGTGCTAACACTTCAGTGATAGAGAGATAACAAAGCAAGAGTCGAGCTGGGGGGTTTTTATTATGTTTGGGGTTTGTTTTTTCAATTGAAGCAGAGTGGTTTTGGTGTGCCTTAAATAGGTCCTTGCCTCTCAAATGTTAGTGGTGGCTTTTCAGTTGTAACTGTTTTGAATAAATATTTAAAGGTGTGCTCAAAAAAAAAACCCCTCCAAAGTGGCAAATGAGTGAGTTGGTGTTTGCTCTTCATCCGTAGTTTTTATGTTCTGAATGAAATCAGCATTAATGGAATTGGAAAGCAGTTATTGGTGGGACATTAAGGAAAACGGGATTGTCAGGTTGGATTTTTCCTGATGGATTTTAGTCAGGAAAAAAAGCACATCCTTGGACAAAGCAGAGCCAGACAACTTGGAAACCTCGTGGAGAACAAGTGTTAAATGTGTTCAGAATTAAAAACTCTCAGCTGTGACGTGTTCCCAGAGTTGGAGGTGTAACAGAGGAACCTTGGTTTAATAGGGTTAATTCCACTTAAAAGTACTACAAACTATAAAATAGTTTAAAGTACAAGTTTATTCATGTTGTGTTTTCATTGTTTGGGATCTGGGCAGACACAGGGAGGCAGCTCAGCAATAAACCTGAGAGAGCTTGGAATATTAAAGGGGAAAAGGGCTTGGAAAGACAAATGGAGAGGGAATTGTTGGCTGAGAGAACTTTGGAGGAGAAGTGTTTGCAATCAGTGAAAGCCTGGAGCTGCTGGCAGTTGTCAGCTCTGAACCAAAGGAAATGAGCCAATATTCCATTTGTGATGAGCTGTGGTTTCCTCCCTGTGAAAAATTGCCTCAGAAACATAAATGTGAGTTGACTTGAGCAGAATGTGAGTTAACTTGACCAAAACATGAGTTAATTTGCAGGGAAGTGAAGGATGGCTGAATGGGTTCCACTGAGGGGCAACCAAATGTTGCAGTTACTTTAATTAGGCAATAAATTGCTCACTTCCTGCTTGTTACTCTGCAGTTCCACCAATGTGCAGCTTCTCAGAGAGGGTTGTAAATGTTCTCAGCCTGCTGAATAAAGCAATTAATTTAGAATCTAAAAATAGATTGCACCTTTCCCTCCTCAATCCTTAAATCTTGGACAAAGTAGAGCCAGCCAACTTGGAAAGCTCGTGGAGAACAAGTGTATGTGCAGAACCTTTAAATGTGTTCAGAATGAAAAAGTCTCAGAGTTGGAGGTGTAACAGAGGCTTTGCCCTTCCTCCAGGGTGGATATAAATAATGATAAAAAGATTGGAGCCAAGGAGATGCAGCGCTGGATCATGGAAAAG